TAAATTCTTAGAAGTTTGTTTTGGCAGAATTCTGATAAACGAAAATGTTTGGCAAAATTATATAAAAAACCAAAAATAGAGATATTACAAAAATGAGGTAAAAAGAAAACAATTAAGCCCTATCTCGCGAAGATACAGATAAAATCGCGGCAAAGCACCGGTGGCTCGAACCCGAAGAGACTTCGTCGCCGACGAGTGACTCAATCCACTGAACAAGCAACGCTCAAGCATCCTAAAGGCTTCTCCTTTAACCTTCTCAGATGTTGTTGTTTCGTAAGCTCTGTTCTTCTTCTCTCTCTCGCTCAATCACCTTCCCTAAACCCATCTCCCTCCCTCGCTCTCTTCCCAAATCCCTCCGTCAATCCTCTACTCTCTCTCACTCCTCCTTGAAAATGGCCGATACCCAGAACCCTAAAACCCCTAATTCACCCCCAATTCCATCTCCCACCAAACCCGAATTGCTTCGATCTCTCGAATTTCACATGGGTACTTGCTTCAGCAACGATCCGATTATCCCTCCGCCGAATCAGATCGTAATCGTAATCAGTGGTCCAAGCGGAGTAGGGAAAGACGCGGTGATCAATAAGCTTCGAGAGGTTCGTGAAGGTCTTCATTTCGTCGTTACCGCAACTAGCCGTCCGATGCGAGTCGGTGAAGTCGAAGGTAAAGACTATTTCTTTGTCTCGAGAGACAAATTCTTGTCAATGGTTGAGAACGACGAGCTTCTTGAATACGCACTTGTTTACGGCGAATACAAAGGGATTCCAAAGAAGCAGATTCAGGAGTTTATGTCTAAAGGGGAAGATATTGTTCTTAGAGTTGATATTCAAGGAGCTCAGACGTTGAGGAGGATACTTGGTAACTCTGCTGTGTTTATATTCCTTGTGGCGGAGAGTGAGATTGCGATGGTTGAGAGGTTGATTGATCGGAAAACGGAGAGTCAGGAGGAGTTGCTTGTTAGAGTTGCGACGGCGAGAGAAGAGGTTAGGCATCTGAAGAACTTTGATTACGTTGTGGTGAATGCGAAAGGGAAGCTTGATGATGCGGTTAATCGCGTGGAATCTATTATCGAAGCTGAGAAATCTAGAGTTCATCAACGGATTGTGAGGATTTGATGGTGTGGTTTCTTACATTGATTGTCCAGTTACTACTTTTCTTGCTTGCTTCAAAGCACACAAATTTTCTCAGTGTCTGATTGATATAATTGAGCAATATGCTTTGGAAAGTTAGATTCAGTACCGTGTTTGTTTTGATGGGTTTTGTCGACTATATAGTGTGAAGTTTTATTGCTACTTGAGAAAGAATACGTATAAAAGTTGGAGAAGCCATTCTAACGAAGCCTTCAGATAGGGAGATTTTTTGGTAAATGATTGAGATTAGATTGATTTAGTTGTTTACATGACCTGCTTTTGTCGCATTTCTTTATCGCAATACCAATTCGATGGAGAATCTAGCTGGACACCTGGCGAAATTAGTCAATCTGGCATGCTCCAGTATGATTTGAATACTTGAAATCTCAGGAAGTATCTCGCCAAGAACAGGAAGATCAGAGTGTCTAGATGTGTATTAAGACTTGGTTATATGCATAGCATGTAATTTAGAAACTATGTGTAAAACACATTCTGTTTTGTATTGTTAACGTTTCTTGATTGTTTCTTGCAGATCATATGCATATCGCTTGCTGTCTTCAGACACGGTTTCATCGCGGACCAAGAGACAGTCTTGGATTCGGTATATGTAACCCGATGGAAGGGAGACGCAGATGAATCGTCCTCCGCGTTTGCAAAGAATCCTTCTGATTAATCATATCTTGGCTACCTACATGGATTGTGTTGTTATCATTCTCACATTTTGATTAATCGTATTAATTAGTGTTATGAGTTAGCATTGATTTTATCTAACTTTAACAGATGGCGGGTGGCGGCTGAGTTCCAAGAAGTTCGGAACATGTTTATTGAAATTTTCAATAGAAAAAGGTTTAAGATTATCTTCCTCATAAATCTAAAAGGAAAAAACAAAATAGAATAGAGATAATTTTATTAATTACTATGGTGAGTACGACATAAGTAGCCTGTGAGTTTGACACAGGAAGATTTATGCTGGAATCCGGACTTCCAAGTCACCTCCATAAACCATAGTCAAGAGAGCCAATGGACTGTTCTGCTATGGAGAGAGAAAGAGCTTGAGAAGGTTCTGGAAACAACGGCCGAGCTCGAGAACTTCGATGTCTTCTCTGGTACGGTTGGTGTGAGCCGTCATAGCAGAACGATCCATTGGCTAGCTGAAATGGCTCTTTAAATGCACGAGGATGAACAACTATAATTGTCACCTTCCTCTTGAGAAACTCATAGCTCTCTGCATCAAAAGCCTTAACTATTTATACTACATGTTTGTTTTGTAAGAAGAAGAATAAAAGTATGATAATTATAAAGAAAAAATATATTCGTATATTTTGACAAACATTTCTCAAAGTTCAAATTTCATCAAAGTTGCTTGCTTTTGTGTTTTGTCTTGTGGCTAAATTATTTTCCGGTAAAAGTAACAAATCGCAAGAAAATTAAAATATTTTACGTGTTTTGAGATTTGGAGAAATTATCAAACTTTGAAAGCCAAATTAAAATGAAAAATAGGATTCATCAGAAAAAATGTTTAGTTACAGATTAATGACCAGTTAGGATTAGTATATAGCCTATTTAGATTTTATATTCAAACAAGTAACAAATCACAACAAATTTAAAATCTTTTACGTGTTTTGAGATTTGGAGATATTATAAAAACTTTGGAAGCCAAATGAAAATAGGATGTATTAACTTAATCACAAATATGAAAAACCAAATTCAAAAGCAAAACTGAAATATAAAGATTTTCCCATATATATTAAGTAGTAACCGTGACTCTTAAGTTACAAAGTCTACACCCAACAAAAAAGAACCCTAATACCTTCAAGATCAATCCTTGGACAACGCAACACGATGGCTCTGGTTAGAGATAATCGATTCCTAAACCTCAAGCTCTCTCTTCCACAAGCTTCCACCACTATCTTTCCCTGCTGCTTCCCCATGGCAGCCACCACAACAGCTTCAGCTAAAGTTACTTGCGTCGCAAACAACACCGTCTCTGCCACTGATTTGGACAGAATCAACGTTCTTGGAAGTGGAAACAGCGGTACTGTCTACAAAGTGACCCACAAAACAACCTCAGAGATCTACGCGTTGAAGAAAGTCAAAGAAGACATGGATTCTACTTCTCGCTGCCAACTCCTCCGCGAGATCGAAATCCTCCGCCTTGTAGACTCTCCTTACATCGTAAAGTGTCATGACATCTTCCAAAAACATTCAGGAGAAGTGTCAATTCTGATGGAATACATGGATCTAGGCACGCTCGAGTCTCTACGCGGATCCGCCATAACAGAGGATCAGCTCGCTTTGATCGCTCGTCAGGTTTTAAAAGGTTTGAATTACTTGCACGAGCTCAAGATCGTTCACAGAGACATTAAACCGGCGAATCTGCTTCGTAACTCGAAAGAAGAGGTCAAAATCGCAGACTTTGGAGTTAGTAAGGTCGTGGTCAAGTCCTTAAACAAGTGCAACTCGTTCGCTGGCACGTGTGCTTACATGAGTCCCGAGAGAGTCAACAGTGAAGCTGATGTTGCAGAGGAAGACAAAGCAAACGTTTACGCAGGAGATATATGGAGTTTCGGGCTTACGATGCTCGAGATCTTGGTCGGTTACTTCCCACTTGTTCCTCAAGGACAGAAACCAGATTTAGCCACGTTAATATGCGCCGTGTGCTTGGAAGAGTCACCGAAAGCCCCCGAGGAATGCTCTGAAGAGTTCAAGAGTTTCATTGATTGCTGTTTACGCAAGAAACCGAGCGAGAGATGGACAGCTTCGCAGCTTCTCAACCACCCTTTTCTTCTCCGCCAACATTAGGGTTAGTGACATCTCCAAATATCTTGAATTTGGACAATGAGTAGAAGCGACTTTGTATGATCCAGAGGTTTCAAAAGACACACCAAAGTTTTGGTGTAACTCTTGTACAGAAAAGTAGATTCTATCATGTGTTAAATTTCAA